ATGTAGGCCTCGTCGCCAAGGCCCTCCCCCTTCCCCAAAAGGAAGGACTTGGGGGGGTTCCAAAAAAGGGCCCAAATTACGGATTTGGTCCCCTTTCGGGAAAGGCCCCGCCGCTTTTGCCCTTTTTTTTCCGGAACGGGAGCCGGGGGGCACCCCCCCGGTCCCCCGGGGGCCCCGCTCCCCCCCCTTTGGTGCCTCCCCTGCCGCCCCGGGCTCCCTTTTGAAACCGGGTGGCGGGGTCGGCCCCCCGGTTTTGCGCCCTCCCCGGCGGGGTTTACCGGGGCACCGGGGGGGGGGGTTTTCCCCTCCCCTGGCTCCCGGTTTTGGGGCGCTTCGCCCCTTTATGGCTCCGCGCCACCCAACCATGGGCGCCCGATCCCTTCTCTTTCCTCCCGGTCGGTCGTGATTTTCCCCTGAGTGGGGTCCCCAGCCCCCCCATTTTGGACCCAAAATCCAAGCCTTATTTTTCCCGGGGGTCCTTTACCCGCCCCGTTTTTTTTTTTTTCCGATGGTTTTTGAGTTTTTTTGATTGCTCCATAATTCCCAAGGGGGGGGGCGGGCCCCCGGGAGAACCCATTCCCCGGGAATAAGTTTTTTCCCCGGGGGTGCCCGGGGCCCCGGGGGGTCGGGCCCCGATACTTCCCCCACGTCCCCTGGACGAAGCCCCCGGGTTGGGGAATTTTTGGGTTTCTTCCGGGGGTGGCGAAACCGCCCTCCCCCGTAAGCCGGAACTCCACAGGCCCTTTTTCCGGGGGAAGGGTTTTTTTTTTTCCAGGTTAAGGGGGAAAGCCCCCGCCCGTCTTGGGGAAAACCGCCGACCCGCCCCCTTTCCCCCCAAACCGCTGTCCAGAAAAGTGGCCCTACCCCCCGCCCTAGGGTTTTTTCCATTTCCCCTCCCTGCCCAAGAGGAAGCCCAGCACAACCCCAAAACCCCCCCCCTTGGCCCGGTTTCCCCAACCCATGAAGGGGCCCTTTCTAGAAATTTAAAGTGGGTTTTCCCAAGAGGGAGGAAAAACAGTAAACCCCTTTTTAGGGGCCCGAAGGTTTTTTTACCCCACACCCAAGAAAAAACCTAACCAAAATTAGCTGTTAACCCCTTTCCTCAGAAGGGAATATTAAAATATTTATCAAATTTGAAATTTAATTTTTTTTTTTTTTAAAGCCCCTTTGATAATTCTTATTTTTAACCCGATCAGAATTAAAGAATAATTGATAAAAGGTTATCATGGAACCCCATTCCAAGTAATTTATTATTATTGGAAAAAATAAAATATGTAATTACGAACATATGTAATAATTATTATTATATATTTTAATGTTTAGAAGCACATTAATGATATCCTTCTTTAATTTTTTTATCGTGATCCATTGAACCAGTATGAGTAAATGTTCAGAAATAAACACCGTGAGTTTCAAATACGGGGAACTGACCATTTCGGGACCGGGACATTCCGGGAACTGAATGTAACAAAGAAAGAAATCAAGTCAGTGTGATTTTTATTTTTATTTTTTATAATTAAAGTTGTATTTAAGCGTTCAAAAAAATCTTAATATTTATTATCAACGAAAAAAAGGGGGAAACATACGTACACTAACAATAGTGTACGTATGTTTCCCCTAGTTGCTTAACCTTAGTAGGCTAACCTGTAAACTGATAGCAATACCAGAAACTGACACCAAGTACGCTAATATACGGTTCAGTACAGATAAAACATAATAATAATACATATTTTTATACCTTGGCCGGCTCGACGGGTGCGACACCACGGCTTCACAGAAAACTCGGTGAAAAGGAACGAAAGAATTGTTTTTCACCGAGAGATTGAGGTTACAACGCACCTGGTGTCTATGGGCGGCGGTCGTCACTTATCATCAGGTGACCTATCTTTTCGTTTGCCCTTTTTGAATCACTGTTCTCCGAAAAGGTAATTCTTAATAATAAAAGTGTAAGGACAACTTATATGATCTGTAATATGTGTGTGTATAGCAACTTCCTTTATGATCAAATTTACCGTATTTCTGTAAAATGCAAATGCCATATTTGCGAACTTTGATTTTGGCTGAACTGCAATAAAGTAAGTATTTGATATTGCCAAAAGAAATTTTTATATAACCAACTTATGTAAATAGTCTTAAATAGGACCCTTCTAAACAAAGAGCGATTCACGATTTTCAACGCTTTCATTTAACCACGAAACGTCGATGAGTTTTCCTACTTTGGCGGCGCGGAAAATGGATGTAAAATAGCATTTTGTACAGTTATGTGAGATACCAAGGGGTTAACATTAAAATGAGAAATTATAAGCGACAAACTTCTGTAGACAATTGTTTTGAATTTTATAGGGAATTGAAGGGTTCGAACCAGTTATATTTTTATGTCAGGTACAGTACTTAACTGCAAATTTTATACTTGCAACTTAAATTAAAAATTATTATCACTATGATGTAACCGTTCTTAAAGACCTACCTACATATTATAAATATGCAATTAATGAATAAACAGGGGAATAGAATGCGAGTTGCTAATTAACTGAGTAATATAGTTCCTAAATAAGAAGGATTGTCATCAAAGATTTATATACCTACGTATATTCGGGTAGCCGGCCGTAAACGCAAGAACCCAATAAATAATAAACATTTGAGTTTGACTCACTAATCGCTGTACACATTGGCGTGTAAAAATGCACGACATAAAACGTAGTTGTGCAGTTTCACTAGCAAATGTACTTTCTAGCCTACACACGTTTACTAGGTCATGTGATACGTATTTAATCTATGCAAATAACCGAGTTTGATTGACCGCAACACACGTAATGCACATCGGGTACTTATTTTATAGCTCTCGTATAAAACATTAATTGGTTTTTAAATCAAATAGTAACACTGACGAGTAATATACTCATAATCATGATGTACATTTACATTGATACATAACAAAGAACATTATTATAAAATCAAGTGAAGCATGACACGGCTTTCGTCAGTTAGATTATTTTTGGACCACAGTCCACATTATTAGTCTACTGTGGATAGAAAAACGTTATCAGCCTTTGAAAATATTATCGGCAATTTCTAAAGTCCTAAAGGAGTCCTAAAAAAATTTCTAAAGGAGTTTGTGACGACTTATGATTGAACTCGACTCCTTCGTCGGTGTAAATAAAATAGATAGATAAGCCATTCAGCTTTCACTAAGTTTTATTTTAATATTCGGTACACTACAACTCTAAAACTACACAATCATTTTCATAAATACGTACCTTTACTTTTATGAAATTAGAGTATACCTGTTAGAGAAAATTGCCACCTCAAAACTGACAGGTGATCTTTTTTTAGGAAAGAGTAAGTTGTATGTATGCATGAGAAGCCCAAAATCGATCTAAGTGGCGTCAGCAGTGTGTTATAACTAATCTTCATACTTATAATGTAGCAGTTCTTTCACGGATATGAAATTTCGGATCTAGATACGACTACCGATTAAAATGATTTTTTAATATTAAAATTAGATTATTTATTCGTTTTTAATAATGCTTCAGTAGTATTAGTATAGTAATTAAGTTTTTTCCTATTGAAAAATATGGATAAGTAATGATGGCTGAATATGAGGCTTTATTACACGTTTTATATTAGCTTCACTTGTATGTTTGTTTGTAACCGACTCCTTTGCTCGTGATTTTGACTGACTTTAAACGGTCGGAATGGATGATTTATGTAATTATCAGTCTGGTTATATTTCACTGATTTGCGTTCTGCTCTGCGAAACGACTTAATTTATTAGTCGTAATTACTAGAAACACAACTATATTTTTAAATCGAAAGAAAAATGCGCTAAAACGTGCCAAAGAATTTCATTTGTCTATTTAATAGCAAAATAAAGTTGCTCAGAAAATTTTATTCTATTTTCTTTTATAAAATTCAAGACATTGTTTTGGATCTTTGGTAAAAAAAGTCTACTTAGAGATTTTTAATGGTCATTCACTGACAAAGAATATGCATAAATACACCTGTAGGTGTATTTATGTATATTCTTTGTCAGTGAATTTACCTAAGATCATTGAGCATGAGCATTGTTATCATAAACAGAATAACTGGAACACATATTCTTATTATCTATTATAAAAAATAATTCATATTATGGCTCTGCTGTAATGTAGTATTACTCATTATTGAAGCAATAGTTATAGGATATAATTTGCCCCAGGACACAATGTCATTGTGCTCTTGTGCTCTTGTTAAAAGACCACACTGATAAACAATATTTACATAAAGTATTATTCTACAAAACGACTTTAAATGTTATACCTGAAGGACACACACATACTCACATGGGTTTTTTTTATTCTCTGGATATGGATTTAGCATGCGCTTATTCTGGCTTATTACGATGGTTTATTTCTTATAATTTGCATTGCGCTGCGCATACGCACCTACTCATACATACAAATTATTTTGCAAATCAAGTTCCTTCTTGTTAAATAATGCCGTTTATATCATAAATCTAACTGTGTCACACAATAAGAAGTTAGTTTACTAAATTTTTGAAATTCTGAGACGTGGTCCAAAACGCTTTCTCTACTCAAACTGTTACTGTAATGTATGTGGTAACTAGAAACAATCTATTCCTTTTGAATACTACGTTCTAATATCATTAGTATTTTTGTAGATATATTTATATTCTGTATTCTAAACGGACCCCACTACTTAAAACTAATAGCCAGTAAAGACTTTACTTAGTTTTATAGTGGCATAGTTTAACAAAATAAAACTGATTCAAAATATAAAGTATTACTATAACACAAAAAATATACAAAAATTATAACGCATTTAGCTCAATGTAGAAAATCACTGGCAATCGACTATAGATGCAGTACCAATGGGTATTACAAAGTGATATTGGAATGGAAGAGATCCTAGAAATAACCAGACCCAACGGAAATAGTTAAATTCATTCATTTCAATAGTTCTATAAAATATAATAATTCCAGCTGTAAAACTAAACATACCTGAGATAATTCGGATGTATTTTAACAGTCCGCGTGCTCAACACAGCCGTTACTGGCCTGGGCCATAGACCGCCTAATCTCCCACAAACTGTTCTGCAGATATCCAAGCTGTTGAACGTGAGGTTGGTAACGTTGTTTGTCGTTGGATGAGGCTCGTCCGATCGTATGCAGCCTTCCTCGGGCAAGCACTTGTACATCCATGATGGCCTGGTAATGAGAAAGCAATGGTAAATACAAAAAGTAACAGAATGACCTAAAATACTAAGGTAGCAAACAAGAATACAAAAGTGCCAAGTTTAAGCTCGATTGCTACTGTAACCGCTTATTATCATAAGCTTAGATAACCTTATTTTTATAGCTTTACTAGTTGACCCGGCAAACGTTGTTTTGCTATTATAAAACAGGGGTTGATCTAAGAGGGAAAAATGTGTGGCTGTGGATGTGATGTGACGGTCAAAATCCTGTAAGCGTTAATTTTGAATTATGGTGGAAAATACTTCTGATATAAATTGGTTAGTTGACCTCCTTGGCTTTCATAAACTTTCGGCTAATTAGGTTGATATACATATTGTTACAGTAAGGTACCTATGGGACTCAATCGTGATTTTTAGTACAGAAAATTTATTTTAAGTGTCGAATTGAATTTGAAACTTACTTAAGTTAATATTTCGTATAAGAGAAGGTTGACATGAATAAAGCTATGGTCTTGTCACACTAAGGCTGTTAACGAAATGTATTTATTATTCTTAAAATATCTGCTCAAAAAGTAAAATACAAATACTTATGTAGTCAAGTATATATGCATTTATACCAGAACAAGCTTTTTCCACAGAACAAATAAGACAATAAATAACTTTAAAAAGAGCATAACCAACTTTAATGCGCCTCTATTATTTTGGATTGTTAAATTATTTTGGGTGATATTTTTAATGAATGAGATTGAAAATTGAATGAGATCAAAACGGTAAACTTTTTCTAATAAAAACAGCCGAATCAATAACCTTCTCCTTTTTTGAAGTGGGTTAAAAAGGACATATTACGTTTAAGTTACTGCACATAACACTCCTATATTATGACCACGTCTTCTGTAACAGTCAATGCCAAAAAATGTCAACCGGTATCTATTGAAACAAATTCATAGTCGTAGGCACGCCAAGCAATTAATTAAATATTGCATTTTAAGCGATATTAGAATTACAAAGAGGCAATAACATTTGAAATAAGGTAGATCATGGTTGTAAGTTGTAGGGTAAATATATGTCACGGAAAAAAAAAAAAAAAAAAAAAAAGGGTAAATATATGTATGTACATATATTTTTATACGACGACGTTATGTAGCTAATAATTATAAAACTTATTTTACATATTATTATGTCCTAGCAACACTGGAAGCGTGTACATGTGCTAAAATGCGAGACGTAGAATTAGGAAACAAATACCTTCTTCAGAAAATCGTCACTTAAATAACACTTTCCACTTTGGACGCGCTTTAGTTTTTATATACATTGTCTAGGTGTATAACACCGTTAACATATACACACATATGTCCACAGACATACTAGCACAATATTCGGGTACTGGTTTTTTCTATAGTTGTTTACGAAACTCTAAAACCTGTGCACTTCTCAAGTACCATTAAAAATGGAATTACCATATTACAAGTTATTGCGCAATACTCGCTATTAATACGACTACCTACAATAGCTTAATATTCAATCATTGGTCATAAGAATAAATTCATTATTTATCAAAATATCAATGGTTAACAATTTTATTGTTAACTATTTGGATTATTAATTATCAGCAGTCTGGAAACCATAGTACAGGTTTTGATAAGTTTGGGATCAGACTGTGTGTGAGATGTGTGAGATTATTAAAGTAAAACTTCTTTACGCATTTCGGGAGTAAGCTGGTGAATGCGTGACGAGAGCGTTACGTGTGATCGGGCGAGGCGAACGGAAGTTGAGAGGGAGATATAAGTTAGTAAAGATAGAAAGAGAGAGACGTTACCTTTCGTATATTACTGTAGGGGCAAAAGAGAGAGAGACGAGCGCACATTTTCTTTCTCTCATTCTCTCAAAGCCAAGAAGTTTTACTTCAGTCCAGTGGCCTAAAGCACACTCGTTTTTATGATTATTAATTAATAGGTATATTTATTAACATACATTAGCTGAACCGCGCAACTTCGTCTGCGCAACTCTCAAAAGGAATAAATATTCCCCGTTTTTGCAACACTTTTCATTGATACTCGGCTCCTATTGGTCTTAGCGTGATATTCTGTAGACTATAGCCTGCCTCGGTAAATAGGATCTCCAGCATTAAAATAATTTTGCAAAACGAGTAGTTCTTGAGATTAACGCATACAACAAAAGAAATTCTTCAGCTTTATAATATTAAATTAGTAAAAGACACTTTTTTTTCTGATTTATGCTTAGAGTCAAGGATATCGAGCTCAGTCTGATTTATGTTTGTTTCTCAATAGGTATGTCTGTGTATCGTTAGTCTTTATGTCTGTTTATCTGTTACCTTTTTACAATCTTTTAATGATCGTAAAAAAATTGGCAACGATCCACACCTTTGATCTGTTTAAAAACAGGCTATTTAATGAATATCAGTTCTACTACTAAAGTCATAGAGTGATAAATGGCCTAAAGTAAAATTTTAGTATAATAACTAGAGATTCATAGAAAAACAATATTCTAAAAACAAAACCAATGGTCCTTTATGTCTGAGTAGAAAAAATGTATTTGGTATCATTTAGCAATAAAAAAATCAAGTATTTTATTAAATAAGGTGAAATTGTAAATGATTAACCCACGTGATGGTGTGATGTGATCATCACCTTTATATGAAATCTGGGAGGAGGGAACACTTAAACAACAACGAACTTGTGTCTTAAATTGAATTGAGTTTGAGGTATGTGTCCATAGGCAGCGCTAGTCACTTACCATCAGGGCCTCAATTCTGCTATTTTATGTGTACATACAAGCTACTGTCATTCCTTTGACATTAACACGCTACTGAGATGTCATTGACATCGGTCAAAATATCGGTATTCTACTAATATAAATTCAGAGCGTCAATAGATTGTCGATGTAGTGTCAATCGCTCATCAATGGTGATATCAACAACATTGCCATATCTGGAAAATTAAATATTATCCATATTTATTTTTCTTACAAATTTGAAATGTACAGTTTACACAACTATTACAAAGACATCGACAACATTTGTATCCGTAGCAATTTAGTGACAAGTCATCGGGAGACCATTAGTCTAACATAGTTAGTAGAATACGAAAAGTGCAAAACTATTCCGACGACATTCCATCGACAGTCTATTAATACAATGTTAAATAGCAGAATTAGAGCCCGGATGACCTGGGAAAAAAAACAATTTACAAACTATTTTTTTAATTATACAACAACTTTTAATAGATAAATAAGAACTTTGTTAGTCGACTGACAGTATCTTTTGTGTAAGTCATGGAACTTGTCAAATGACCTTAGATTTTTTATCGAGTTTGCGGTACAGGCAATGAGTTTTAAAGAATGTATTAAACAATTGAATTAAGTATTTTAAATTCTCATTAATTTAGATTGAATGCTAACAGTTTTAAATACAGCGTTCCAACTCTTTAGGAAAATAGTAACGGAACTCTTAGTAATAGAATCTAGTGTCACCCAGACACTAGATTCTATTACTAAGAGTTCGAACGTAAGTAGTTAACATCATAATCTCTTTTTACCCCATTAACATTTTACTGGGTAAAAAGATAATATGATGTTAACTACTAATATGATTGATACTACCAATTTAGGTACTTAAGTATTTATAAAGAGTCATTACTCTTTATAAATCGTTTACTACCTATAGTGGGTTCAGTATCACTTCCCAAACAATTTTCCGCATAATTTAATTTGCCAAATTACTCTTCAATAATAAACTCTTCACAAATAATTTTAACTCAAACCTAATGTTTGGCAAGTGAACGCTTTAACAATAACTTGCTTACCAACTAGCGCCAATTTTAATGTAGTCAAATATTTCAGTTGGTATATCATATGTTACGCAAAATAAAATAAGCCAAATATTTAGTTATATAGAATATTTAGTTGAAGACGTTTTATTTCCAGGGTGTTTTTTCCACTTATACAAATTCTAAAGAGGTAAAAATAATATTAATATTAACTATTCTGGTAGTAGTTTCTGATTTTACATTTAAAAATATATTGATTATTTAATCTTTCAAAGAGTACTTCAATAAAAAAAGGTCAAGGCAAGCCGGAGATTTTCACTATATTTTATTCTAAAAAACAACAGCGAAAATAATTTTAACTCCTAAAGTCCATTTTTTTTAACATATTTTTATAGAAGTCTGCACCCACATATCGCTAAAGCACAACTAGCTAAAAAGCAATAACGATCGTACCAGATTAGAACAGAAATGGTCTACATTTACACAATACAAAATTAGCACACCTAGTTGATTAGTGCTCTGCGAATTGGATATTGAATCTGACTTAAATATTTTATATATGTACTTTATCATATACTATGTTAAGAAACGATCCATGATCTAGGTACCTACATATTGTGATACAAATAAATTACTTCTGAAATTGAAAAAAAAATTAACATAAATTGAAGGTTTTTTTTATGATGATGAAGGATTTTATTTATGAATATAAATGGATAATTAAAATATAATATTATGTGATTGTATAATTGTATACAAATTAATAGAATGAAATATTGAAGACGGAATGTTTGAATTATTTAAGGAGGAAGACGGAACAACCCCTAAAACGCATCAAACTACCAAAGCGAAGTAATCAAAGCAAAAGGAGTAATAACACTACGTTTGTTTAATGTGGTAAAAGTACTACTTAAAAGTAAGTATTTATCGTCTAGTTTCGCAACAATTTACAAGGAAGGATTTCTTCCCCTTGTAGATAACCAATTAAATTGTAATATACAAACAGCTCAGAAAAAAATACCCCTGGCGTACACATTGCAAATACTTGTTAGATTAAAATTAATGTCAGTATACATATCACATCACATCTACAGCCTTTTATAGTCCACTGCTGGACATAGGCTTGTCTTTAGGAAGGAGGTTTTGGCCAGGCGAGTTGGTATACGGTTTGTTTCAAGTTTTTCTTCTGTTTGCAGTGCTGTTGTCCTGTGTAGTTTGCTCCCTCAGTCGGTTCTTACGACACTTAAGGGATAAATAGGGGTGTCACCACCCCTTTTCCTCTGTCTTCTTAATCTATATGTCAGATTAGACTTATACGTAAGATGTACATTTCAATATAATAATATACATTTAAATGATAACACGAGGTTTTCCTTTGACGTTGATTTGACATTTTAGAGAACCAATAGTATGGTTCTTAGTGTATCTATAAAATAATATAAAGTCTACCGATTCTTATCTATAAATGTAATGCGTTTTTGATCCTATTTATAATTTTTTTCAGAATATTTAAGAAAAATTGTAGCTTTGTTTTTTTCGGATGGCAATAAAACGAAATGTAAAAGTGTAACAAAAAAAAACACTCACTCATATATAGGCGGTACAATATCTTCGAGGCCGTTGTTTTCATGGGATTGTACTATATTCACAGCCATAAGGACTAGAGCCACCCATCCGCTCGCCATGACTGCCTGCAACACACAAACAGGTAAAACTTACACAACAGTAATGTTCACACAATAGGATGAATAAAAGTTAAGCGGGTGAACAGCATGTTTCGTGTTGTATTTTTTGTTCACTTATCGGTAAAGATGAGAATGCATGCGCCCTGAATAATGCATATATACATGCTATTATTATGACTTAATTATTATTATTTTTAATTTTTCTGCGTCATTTTCACCTAAAATTTAAAATTCTATATTATTTATATCAAATAGAGGACATAATGACAATAATGTAACATTCACAGTTTATTTTAAGAAATTACTTAATTTTTAGCCAGATTTTTGCATTTTAACAATGACTGGGAAATTAAAAAAAAAGCCTATTCGTCTATGACGTCGTCCTACTCAAAACGGATGGATCAATTTAAATGCAGTTTTTTTACTCACAAAACTAATTAAACCGTTCTGGTAGATGGTTCACAGGCATACTCGTATTTAGTGAAAATTTGTGCAGATAACACATCAGCATTATTTGTGTCGAGGTCGTTTAATGTATATATATATGCGTTATACATTTACGGTAAAAAAGCAGTAGAAAGCCCTCGCTGGCGATAAATGACACTGATATTATGTTGAGAATCGGGTGGCGCTATACAAAATTAAACCGAACTTTTGCGTCGAGTATTCCGTAAACACATAAAATTGTATTTGAAATTTTGAACATAGACATAAAAAGAGTATTCAAATCGCATATCAATATGACGTGGTTCAATAGAATAAAAATGGCTGTATTTTTTTTGTGTTGACTTACAAGCTTGAACACAAAAGCCCGAAGACCTCTACGTGGTCTGAAAACATTATCTATACAAATAAAAAAAAATGAAGTGTCTGTTTGTAATATAAAATAATATGTTTTTTTCATGCTCACACGGTTTTTTGCACGATACCTATGCCTAAAAACCAGTTTAAAAAAGTTTGTCTGTCTGTCGGTTTGTCCCGGGTAAAGTTCTAAACGGCCGATATTTTACTACCTGGTAGCTGTCTATATAAGGAGTAACATAATCTATTTTCCTCTCAAAAGACCCTTTAAAATTTTGCAAGGCCCGTTAATCAAACCCACTTTTTTTTTTCCGTGCGGCAATCCCCTCGGATACCACCTATCGGTGGCATGTCGGACTCGAACCGACTAAAACCGCACGCCGTCTCGGGTACTAATAGCCGGGGAACCAGGTATACCCTAGAAAAGAAGTCCCTGGTGCCTAATCGAACCCACTAAAGCAGCGCTTTAGCGGTTACGAGCCAGTTTTTAAATGAAATCCATACTTATATTATAAATGTGAAAGTGAGTTTGTTCGCTTGTTACGCTTTCACGCCTAAGCCACGTAACTGATTTTAAAAATTCTTTCACAGCTACATTATCAGCGAGTAACATAGACTACTTTTTTTATCGCGGTAACCGATTTACAAGCGGAGCCGGCAAAAGCCAGTACCAAATAATATCAAACATTGGTATGACAGTAGGTAAAACATCATATTTTTTTAAATCCTCAGTTTTGAAATGAATTCCAATATATATTTTTCAAATATACATAATAATCCTAAATTATAAAATAGAGATATTGTCTTTTAAGTACTTGTTTATTTACTTAAAAAATGATTTCACTTAGTAAATGTGTACAGAATTGTAAATAAACTTTTATCAACAATGGGTGTAGATAAAAGTGTATTTACAATAATATAGATTAATGTAATGTATTGATTAATGTTGTAGTGTTAATGTTAATCTAAGTAATCTATTTTATTACTTTTGTTTTGAGCAATTGTCTTATCACCACCTTAATGCGCGTGATGCCATAAAACCTCAGTACAAACATGATTGAATAAGCTCTATTTTTTTAAATTGTCGTTTTAAGTACAGAGTTTGATTACATACTTATATAGGCTATATTTATTTATTAGACGTCGATGTGTCGTTTCAACCTAGTGTGTTAAGTTAAAAAGTCAATGTAAAAAAGTCTTTGCGCACTGTCACTTTAATGACACATATTACAGAGGCGGATTAAGTATCAAGAGCGCTCTAGACGAGCATCTCATCGGCGCCCCCGCACCTCTCCTGTCCCCACTTATACCATATTATAAATATCTTATGTATAAAATTCTCGTGTCACAATGTTCGTTCCCGTACTCCTCCGAAACGGCTTGACCGATTCTCATGAAATTTTGTGTGCACATCGGGTAGGTCTGAGAATCAGCCAACATCTATTTTTCATACCCCTAAATGGTAAGGGTGACCCATCCCAAAATTTTTTTTTTAGGCAAAGCTACCTTTGCCGGGTCAGCTAGTTTACTATAATATAGTTGATTAGAGGTAGTTGACGTTGCTAACTGTAAATGTATGATAGTGATTTCTCTAAATAGTTGGCGTTACTTTACTCCACCTTTAATTCTTCTGATGCGTGTTTTGAGTGGGGCGGTGTATTGAAATCGGATCGACTAAAAACACACGGAGTGCCTTACTTCGCCTAAAATAGAAGGGATCGGGGAACAGCTTTTATGGAGATAACCCGACTCTTCCTAGCGCCCACTGGCAAAAGCGGTAGAAACTCTCGTTTAGTCGACTCTAGGTACCCGCAGACGTCGCCCTTGCCGTCTACCCGCAGTCACATTCAGGATGGCCTAGTGACCGAGTGCATGTTCTTCCCTAAGCAGCCGTGCCCAGAAAGTAGCTGCGTCGGTCGAAGGGAAAGGGTCCCGTGGGGACTTGACGATGACCGGCTGGAGCGCCTCCACGGTGGTAATGGCAGCACGTGGACCAGCCAGTCCAGTCCGTGACGATCAACGAGTCATCGTGGTTCAGCGGGTTGTTGATGATGATGATGTTGTTATGGATTTTATTTTCCGAATCCTTTATGAACCCGAACAATTTCAACATTATCATTAAAAATTAACACATAACGAATTGTTTTATTTCACGTTATACATCACTCGTCAGCAGTGGTGTCCATGTGCCATTCACTATAGTAGGTCAAAACCTCCTTTATAAGGAGAGGCCTATGTCCAAGAGTTAACTATTAAAGACTGTTGATGATCATGATGATGATTTTTATAATAATTTTTGATTTGCGATGTGTTTCCAATAAATCATATTAAATTAAGAACTCCTCGAGCCCATTTTCCCACAATTTTCTACTAAAATTATGTCTTCAAATGGTTAAAGTTTGTTTTTATAATAGGTAGATGCAGTGGTTTCTCTCATTTTGAAACGCTTTTATTTTTAACCAACTTCAAAAACACAAAAAAGGAGGTTATCAATTCGGCTGTATTTTTTGTGTGTATATGTGTAGGTATATAACGCGATATCTCCGTCAATTGTGGCACGATTTTGAAAATTATTTTTGTAATCGAAAGGGTATACTCACGAGGTGGTCCCATTACCACCAAATCTTCAAACAGACTAGGAGGGACTTTTGTTATTATAATGTTACCTGTTATATTGAGGGTCACACTTATTACATTTTTTTACTTATATTTGTAATTTAGTGCTCTTTGTCAGTATTGTTTGCAGGCGGTTTTTTTTAAAGTATGTATTTATGAGTAAGTGTGTGCTCCTTACTGTTAAATTCTTAAAATAAATAAAATTAAAGTGTCTGTTTGTAATGTCAAAATAATAGGTTTTTCATGTGCACACGGCCATTTGCACGATACCTCTGCTCAAAAATCAGCTCTTTTTTTTTTGTCTGTCTGTCTGTTTGTTCCGGTCAATCTTCTAAAAGGCTGGACTGATTTTGATAATATTTTACTACCAGGCAGCTGTTTATATAATATTTTCTCTCATAAAAACCCTATAAAATTTTGCCCAGTCTGAGAATCGAACCCACTAAGGCAGCGCTTTTCAAATTCCACGCGAACGAAGTCGCGGCTAACAACTATTAACAAATAAAAAACGAGCGAACTACATCATGCATACAATTGAGTTTTAAATAACAATTTAGTGGTGTCAGTTTTATAATAATACACGTATTTTTAAACATCTCTATAATTAACGAATATTTTAATGTATTCCATATAAACAAAAAAACAATGCCATCTCCGTACAAAAGTTATTGTCTAACCGATGAAATGATATGAAAAACCAAACCTACATTCGAAACTAACATTAATAAAAAGGTGAGTGTAAAATATTCATATGAACCAATTGCTGTGTAATGGCCGTAGACAAATGATTAGATCATATCGCTTTAATTCCCCGCTGTGTACAAAAATCAACCGTAATTTAGCGGTTTAACTTCAATGTCAATGGTACGAGTGTTCATTTGTATCACAAAATATATTCGCATAGGGTTGTCAACAACACGAAAAACAATATTGTACCATGATTGTGCTCTGAAGATGTCAAAAAATGTTCAAAAAAAAATTCGATCTTCTTTTATTAAGTTTCGAACTCATGCTACTATTATTACATGCTATTTACCTATTACAAGCGAGATAAAGTTGTTTTGATGTAAATCTTGCATAATTTATACATCAGACACATCTGGGTAGGTATATAAGAAAGAGTTCGCTGGTGACCACGACCAGTGCAACCTGCTCGAAACGTCACGTAACGTATACATTTATATAAATATTAAGAACAGTGTACGTCGGTTATCGTGGTAAAAAATAGCCTATGTATGTATTTCCTTATCAAAGTTGATAAAACTTCATTAAAATCGGTCAGTGGTTTAACCGTGAAAGCCCAACAAACAGACAAACAGAGTTACTTTCGCATTTATAATATTAGTAGTGATAACGCAAAAAAATTTGCTAGCCCTAGCTGATTATTAAATTTGTCGTGGTCGTCAACTCATTGTCCATATTAGTTGGGTACATTACGTGCCAGCTAACGGAACTGAGGATACATTTATACAGCTACAAGCTAATGCACGTTCACGACATTCATTGCAATGTTCATATAAACAATATTTAATTACATTTAATCATTAATGACGTTCATTCATTTTTTAATAATAATGCGTCATAATCGTTTAATCCCACAGAGAATTCAATGTTTTCTTACTAATCTCAATAATATTTGTCATCAATTTTTTCTAAGAAGTATTTTAGTTTTTAACTTTCGCGGCTTTAGTCTCTATACTAATATAATAAATAGCTTTTATATTTATTTGTTAGTTCAACCGCACTAATCTCAGGAGCTTGCAGCAAGACTCGAATTATCATTTTTTTTATTCTAATATTTTGGAAGGAGCTTTTGCCCACACGGGGTGCACGCCTGCTCCATTCTACCTTATTACTTATATAACTTATTATCTACCATACATAATAATTAGATCATTTTATAAAAGACTATTTAGTAATTTACTTATGTAAGAATATAATAAGGTATACCTATAGGTAATTTTTGTATTGGATAATAACATCCAGACCTTTAATTCTTCTATAAATGTGATCGTAACTTTGTTTGTTTGTTACGCTTTCACGCCTTAACCACAAAACTAATTTTAAAGATTCTGTGTCTTGTAAAATATAACTATTGGAGAAATTGAAAATTGTTTCAAATCTATTACCGGGTACGAGGTTTTTTAGTATGCTGTTATTGCATGGTCTGGTTTTAAATTGTTTCGTAGTTTACAAAAAGATACAGAAACAATGAAATTTATTTGCGTCTCAAAACAAGGAGGCAAAGCCGTACCATCCTTTTCTCGAAGCCATTTAGGCCATACATATTTTGCTCGATGTTCAATTTATATATTTTCTTTTCGGTCTGATTTATACTAATTAATATTTGTTTACATGTACAAAATACAATAATGAGTAATTAGGTTGAATATTAAATTTTATGAATTCTTCAAGCTTAACGTATACTAGTCATTTTTTGCCTACTGAATTATTATACTATTTGATATCAAAAACCTTTGACTAAAAGTATTTTTCACCATATGACTACGAGACCAAATAAAACCTTTTGACTTTAAACTTCCAATTAAAATCATATTTTTTTAAAGCTTCTAAGGCGGCTCACCTCGCAGATGAAATTATTATTTGTATTATTGTTTCGTGAAAGGTACTTTTCTGTATCCTCAGAAAAATGAAGTCTCAAAGGTACCTAAATGTTTAGTTTTTATGTTTTAATAAAAGTCCCGTAAATTGACATATCTTCTGAAGTTCTTGCAGTCATAATACTCGAAATATTAGACTACATAGTAACTCGGTAAGTAAGGAATTCCGAATTTGAGCATGTAATCAACCTTGGAATAATGGCACCGAATCCGATTTGATTGGTCAATTAATTCCGTGAGCAATTAAATCATATTTAGGCACACACGAAATTATTTTATGTTAGGAGTTATTTACTCGTAACAGTTACAATACTAAATCATTGTGGTTTTGTTCGTTTAATCATAAAATTATTATTGTTAATATCCTCATTTACTATACCTGTTTTATTGAGCTCTGTAGTTAGTGTTTAAGTGATTAGTCTATAGTCAGGAATCAAAAATATTTTTTTTAATTTTATATTTGGGACATCTGACACACAACGCCATCTAGTTTCAAACTAAGCAGAGCTTGTACTATGAAAACTAGATTGACTGATAAAATACTCATATCCTATTTTGTAAATACATACATATTATACATAGAAAACACCCAAACTCCGATACAAATATTTGCAGATTATGCAAACATTTGGCCCGTCGACATCCGTCGCATACGCTACCACTGCACCACCGAGGCAGTTTAAAATGAATTTTACTGAAAGATTTTATTTCACTTGACCTGCATGGGTCAAATTTAGTAATTAAAATTGTACCCCCTGTCTGATCTTAAATTTGGTGCACACAAAGGTGTGTTTTGATGACAATACTAGTAATAATAGTATATATGTATTTAGTTGAGTTTTTTAGTAATAGTAGATATGTATTTAGTTTCATTGTAAGTCCAAGATGACTGCCACCACAAAATGGCAGCATACATTATTTTTGTCAACCCCCTTATATATAGAGAAACTATCGTAATCTGTGTATAATAAATGTACGTACGACATTTAAACTTAATAATATAACCTGATGTAGCAAAGGCTTTGAGCTATATTGACCACTAAATTTAGACCATAATAGGATTAGATACACTATATTATTATATTTGTTAATAATAATAATAAAATAAATATAATTAATAAAAATAATAATTATCTTTATAAATACAGTTGGTTCCGTAATTATTTTATTGAACTTTAAGAGTTGTAATATGCAAGTTTTAAATACAGTAAAACATTGATAAAATAAAAGGTATTAGAATGAGATTTGTTAGAACACATATGAAACTTCTTTTTTTACCTTAACATAATGATTTTTGTTTACTGATGCTATAGTTAAACTCTTACACAGTTTCACAATTAGATTAAGTTATTTTTAGTTTTCTTTATAGTTTACATTTTATGTCTACTTATTCCAATTATAGATTTATTTATACACACGATCAATAATTACTGTAAACTGTTTGTGCATTTAGGCATTCGCGTAAACATTCCTAAGAATTTGAAAACTAGTTTTAACTATCTATTGCAGTATTAGGTATTCTGTGGTATTGGTCAATTAAAAACACTTCTAAGATAAGTAGAAAATGCAAATACGTATTCAATACGAGTTAATGTCATTTTTATCAGTATCGGTGTTTGTCGCGCTATGTTTTTCTCTTAACAAATTATGTTGTGTTGTACAAAGTTTCACGAAATCTTTTTATACTTGGGAGTACCCACTTATATTTTGAACATGATAAAAAAGCTAGAATAGTTGAAGCAAAATATATTTTTATCGTGTGAGTGTATCATTTATTTCTTTTACCTTATAGTAATTTGAAAAAGTTGAAAATTCAAAGTTCACATAGTACTTACCACGACGATGAACTTTTTTCTGATAAACCTAATATTGGAAACTGTTATTTTAATTGTTCTATGGAATATTGTTTTTTTTTTTAAGTACAGGTCACGTCTGCATTAGCACTGTGCGATATGAACTTAAATGCTGCAATTGTATGATTTTAGATAACTTTATAAGAATCTCTATTTATAATAGAGATAGAAGGGGAATTGCATGATAAGAAATACACTAATTATCAATTAAATAGTTATGTTTTATACTTAGACAAGATACCTAGAATGACCACACAACCAAACACAATGAGCCCTTAAAAAAATAATTAAATACTTGTGTTTGTAGATGTTGATAAAACTTGTGTGATTCATAGATAGATGAATATACCTAAATATCACGATTACATGTCAAACATTTTCGTACGAAAATTGAGTTTTTTTCCCAAACTAGGTTGGGGTCGGCTTTAAGTTTACTACGGTACGGGTGAATTTCGATTTTTTGAGAGGAGCGACTGTCATTAGACCTCCACAACCTACTAGGCGATATAGAAGTTCTGTAGAAGACTGTTGTCGGACTTTTTAGGGCTCCAACTACCCGTAACGATTGCCACAGATGTTCATATGGCAACTGGGACCGACGTCGCGTCGCAACGGCTTAACATGCTCTCCGAGTCACACAGTATAAATATAAACTTCCTCATTCCTAGAGTGCTAAAAGCCTACTGCTATAATGAATCTATTGCTTATACGTGAAAAAAAAATTGTAAGTATATTTATTGTGTTTATTCCTTGTCTGTCTTTTAATAAAACATCGACTTCCAAAAAATAGCAGACATTTTTATTTTTGTATAATATACGGGTAAAGAAGTAAACGGATCTCCTAATGGAATGTGACTGCTGCCGGCATTATTTTTTTTCATTAGTTACGTAGATTTTGATATTTCAGGTCATTTTGATGGTGGTTGATTTAAGGGAAGAAAAATTTGACACAAACCCTATACCAACCCGTCTGTATAATAGGCCAAAACCTCCTTTCTAAGGCCTATGTCCTGCAGTGGACTATTAAAGGCTGTTGATGTAATGACGTGATGTGTGAATTTATATTTACAGGCAGTATATCAACAGTGAAGTTCTAGCAACGGGTAAGTCAGAAATTTACGTTTATTTTTACTGATAATTTCTGTATATGTTAGTCACGCAGTTATAATTTAACAAAAAAATGGCGCTATATATTTGCCGAAGATAAAAGATCGCACGGTCTTGCACCAACAAAATGGTCCCAACCAAGTAAAATACCAATTATCCCCCAATGTGTACATGGTCGGGAGAGACGCGCATGACAGGAACCAGTGTAGAAAGATATTCGCTCCACATACAACCCTGATACTGACCTCGATTCTCAGACATTTAAGACCGACCAAAGAGAGTCACTATATGATTTAGTTGTGTTCTTGTTAAAATCTTAAAAAATTGGCTTACGATTTTGCTAAAACTTTACCGACCGATATCTGTGGTATTTGTAGCGGTGTCAAAAGAGACAGAGACATTTGTCTCATAAACATTCAATAGGCAGAATTATATTACTTGAACATATTTAGATCTGATAATGTTTTTATCCGTCCGTGTGGTGACGGATTAAGAATACGGAGTGTCACCACCCCTATTCATCGCGTGGGTGTCGTAAGAGACGACTAAGGGAGCAAACTACGCAGGACAACAGCACTGCAAAGAGAAGAAAAACTTGAAACAAACCCTATACCAACCCGCATGGCCAGCGTGGTATAGTAGGCCAAAACTTCCTTTCTAAGGAGAGGCCTATGTCCAGCAGTGAACTGTTAAAGGCTGTTGATGATGATGATGAATAATTTTTAAATAATAAGAACAACAATTTCAATTCAATTCAACAACAATTCAAATTTTACAATTAACTTACTAATAATTACACATGCGCTAGATAACTATGTCCAATGTTACCACAGCTTGTAGTACTAGAACAGGATTTTTTCTAAACAATACATAAAGATAATGATGATAGTTTCTTGCAATTGTTTATAAACAATTGCATTTGAATCGAGAATAAATGAATTTGTATCTCGATACAATCACTATTTGTAATAAGTTATTGTGCAATTCTTAAGACTAACTCTTTGGATTGTCATTTGTAATATAAACTATGAGTTAAAACAGTTCTCCCACAGGTCCATAAAAAGAATACAATTTACATATTTCAAAAAATTAACAGTGCAATTATGTAATATTGTCTTAAACTGCATCTTGTATTTTACGTTTGCTAAAACGCGTCCTTGTTGAATCTAATTAAAAATATTGAGAAGGTTAAATTACACAAATATAACAGAAATAAATTTAAGGCATTTAAAAAGTTAGCCATGAATATAAATAACTTGTAATCGCCTGAATATAACTTTTCTTGAAAATAATTTTAACGTAAAACAATGTTTTGAAACATATTGTACATCGTGTCTTTACCTAAAGTAAGTATAGTCGCTATTGTTAGTTACAGAACGCAAATAATCGTTATTATGTTTTGTTTGACACAAATGAAAACAGACATATTCATGCATACAAATTTATATTTACATTTCTTGTTCGCTTCCCATCCATGACAAAATATTGTCGGATGAGCACGATCATTATTCTGTTTTTGGGTGTAACTTATCTATAATATGCATGTATTTAAAATATATAAGTATGTTTATCAGCAGGCTGGTTACCATAGTAAATTCTCTGCCTAGTTTGGGATCAGACTGCCATGTGTGAGATGTTTGAATTTATTATTATTATTACAATGAGCGAGCACCGAATCCACACCACATTAATATCAAATGACCGCCATACTGCTGCAGAAAAATCGGTTTTATCTTTTTAGTCACTGATCTTTTATTTCTTCAGTTTAAAATAAGGCACTTTATGTTTCCTTACGTTCTCTTAACAGGTTGTTAAAAGATAATAAAATGAAAATAATTTCGGACATCTAACACAAAACGCCATCAAATTTTAAACTAAGCACAAATTGTATGATAAAAGCTAGATTTACTGATAGAATACTTTTATACTTTATTTTTTATAAATACATACATACTCGTATTATACATAGAAAACACCCAAACTCCGATACAAACATTTGCAGATCATACAAACATATGGTCTGTATTATATGTAGGAATTCAGGACTTCTCGAAATCGACCCGGGAATCAAACTCGAGACCTTAGCACAGTAGTCGCGTATGCTACCACTGCACCACCGAGGCAGATAATAAATAAACTGGCAAACTGAGTTGACTCTAGACTATTTTTTACGGTATAAGGTGGTAAACTAGCCGACGGTTTACTTGATCCTAAGTAACTACCGCCGTGAATGGACACTTGCAAGTCAAGCGTAAGAATTTCGTTGGCGCCCTTTGAACAGTGGCTTGACGGTGCTGTGCACCTGGACCCCCAGGCTTAAGAGAGCCTCGGACCCTGACTAGCAAATTTGGCATATTAGTAAATAATGATAGGATAATGATCTCGGTAAATTTTTGAAAACTACAGAGAACCAGTAAAAAGCTATTGAACTTTGTTTTGCATTAACTGCATTTAACTTTGAGGCTTATGGGGAATCACAGTTTTAATTACATTTTATAGTTGGGATTCCATTCAAAATTGAGTAAATGAGAGTAGGAGCCCTTTTTTTTTAAATTGCACCAGGGCCTATAGTTATCTAGCTACGTGTCCCTCCCCCCAGAGGCAGGGGTTGGGTTGGTCCTCGATAACCTCACTTACTCTGTGAAAAGCTACAAAAAAATTGATTAACACCGGTTTTCTGTGATTCTATGTCATCACACCGGTCGAGCCGACATCTTGACTAAAGAGCAAGAGGTCATGGATTCTGTTCCCTCCCAGGATATATAACGGTGTGACGGCCTAACGTTACCCGACCTACAATATTGAATTATTTGTATAAAACTGGGTGTATGAAAAATGGGTGCCTCATGATTTGACAGATCTGCAGAAAGAAATGTTGAAACTTGTGTGCACTATTGAATCGGTACAGAAATGAAGGTATATTACTATGGATCGAATTGTGACATGTGACGAAAAGTGGATTGTTTACGATAACCGTAAACAAAAAATGTAATGGCTCACCCCAGCCCAAACGCCGCAACGGTGTCCTAAAGCAAAGCTTACCAATAAAAAGGTAATAGTAGCTGTTTAACTATGGCTTTCTCAGGTCTGGTTGGTCAAAGCAGGCAGGCACGCAAAACTGGCAGTAAAACAGCCCCGACTCGTGAATTGATCTTCACTATTCCATGATAACGCAATACCTCACACTGCACGAGAAACCGTTGTAACTCTACAGGAGCTGCAGCTAGAAACCATACGTCATCCTCAGTACTCGCCAGACCTTGCTCCAACGGACTAATTTTTTTTGTGATTTGGACAATTTTCTACGTGAAAAAAATATTCTTCCCAAGTATCAGTCCTAGTAATTTCTTGCAGTACAAAATGCTTTCACACAGTTTGTCGAATCTAGATCCCCAGAGTTCTATCGTAAAGGCTTAAATTAACTTCCATTTAGATGGCAGCAATGTATAGATAATGAGGGTAAACATTTTGATTATATAAATATGTTACATCTTAAAAAAACGAGTTTCAATTTTTCAGTAAAAATCGGCAATTTCAACCCCTAATATAATGCAAGGTTCTATAAAAATATCATAAATGAGTTGTGTATTCTTAACCAAGAGACGTTAGCAAGAAAGAATAAACAAAAAGTTAACATGCTTTTTCAGGATTTATGTCAATTTTGAATCTGATAACGAAAACATTAAATGTAATTTATTGTGGTTGCCGATATCGTGACAACATAAAAATAATTGTTGTGCATATACATATTAATACGATAAAAATAATATTTATTTATAGGAATATAGATTTGTTTTTACAAAAAGGACTTCAGTATAGTTATATTTATTGCGGAACAACATTGTGAACAACATCTTTTTATGAGGTTTTAGGTATTATTGTTACTTAAAAACAACACTGTGATTATCGTGCCAGCATTAGTACGATAAAAACATTATTTTTTTTTGGAAAAATATATATCTTTTTTCAAAGTTAAGTTGTCCGTTGAACACAATAATAGTTACACTAATCGAAAAAAAATGTCGTTTGTCACTAATCTACTAAAGTTAATGAGATCTTTTTCTCATCCCATGTTATGCTCTAATACCCACAAACTCACGGTGCGATTAATGACCGTGGTTATAAATAAACATGTGCGGTGTGACACCACTCGTGTCACTTGCTCGTTGCAAAAACACTATAAATCATGACCTAATCTAATGACCCAACTGACCGCAGTCTTTTATGCAGTAAATACGGCATATTTCCAGTCAATCAGTTCAAAAGTGAGCAGAGGGCCTAGTGTAGTTTTACTTTACATTCGCTCTTAACAGCGAGCGCGTTTAACGTTGTGATTGGTGAAGATTTCAGTGCCGGCCAATTGCAACGCCGAACATGACGAGCGAGTTGATGTGAAATAAACTCGCACTTGGCCCTCTGATACGTAAGGTGCAACAACTGCTCGTAAATTGTTAACGTCACACGGAGATTCTTTCATTTGTTTTTCATTCAGCTGCATTATTTTATTATTATGCAGCTGCATACTCTCAATTCGTGGTAAAAAATATCATTCTTTAAATCGTTGTAACCGAATTACAGCAATGTTTTCGGAAATAAACGAACCAAGTGATCCTGACCGCCAAGCTAGAGGCCGTGGGCTCAATTCCCACCCAGAACAAATAATTGTATGATGACCATGATTATTTGTTCTGTGTCTGGGTGTAATGTATCTAAGATTTAGAAGTACATAAGTAGACAGAAGATTAGATGTAAATTATTTGGCTTAACGTCGAACCACGAAATAACGTCTAAAATGGAATTCACCTTAAAACTGTCATAAGTTTGTTACCGGTTGGTTACGAAGAATCGATGTCCCGGCAATTAATTGAAGGTATCGATTTTTATGGCGTGCTTTAAAAAGGTAGAATATAGAGATATTTATCTTGTCATAAAATTGAAAAGAAAACTTTGTCAGGTAATATACCCGATATTATTACAGTTTTAGGGTTATTTGCCAACTTAAGGACACATCTACCTATAATAATTATAGAAGACCACCTTACAACACTCACCTAGCTACGTAGGGAACCAGCGTCGTGCCTTCCAAAACCATAGTCGAGGACAGTCAATACATTATAACAATGGGTACAACCATTATCAAGGTCACCTGTTAGTGTTGGTATGGAAACATCAATGTAGTAGGCGATGAGTCTACTGAAACTAATTCATTTATATAGAACAGAGTAAATTTTTCGTTATTTTCATCGAGCAAGTAATAGTCCTTGTGCCATTGATTTACATGTAGATTTCTAAAGTTAATTAAAAGCAGATATTCTGTGATTGCGGGCGTATTTTTTACAAAATTAAATGCAATTTTAGATTACATTTTTCAACTTAAACTTAAATAGTGATAATATATAATTTTGAACCTAAAATTAGAGAAAGAAATAATTCTCATCATTTTTGCTTCCCTCTTAGATCTGGATAACTTCATTAAATACAAATTCATTAAAAGTGTTATTTGTTAGAGGAATTTAAAGATCTTATTGAAATACTTGAATAGTAATAATGTAGGCACTAAAAATTATCGTCGAGTTAGTAATTGATTAAAAAAAATTGCAGTGAAACAATTGCATACAAAATGATAAATTTCCTTTCCTTTTTCTTTTCAGGTTTTATATATTTTTCTAGTATCCAACTAGTCTTTGCGAAAAATACTCAGCTCATGCAATTTCATGAATGTCTTTCATATTAGCGACTTTAAAAACAATGCCAGATGGCATTATCACATTTATGAGGTGATCGAGATGTACAACGTGACAGATTTATCTGAGTACGATTTTCCTTAAATAACAACAATATTTTCAAATAAACACGATCAAAAAGGAATAATGAATGATTTTCATAGTCTACCAATAAGTGGCTACGCTCATATGAGATGAATGTATTATAATATCTAGAAATATTTTCTTAAGTATTTAATTAACTGGTACAAAACTAGAAACATACACCAGTTCTCATTATATTCAAGAGCCTCTTCTTGTCACCATATTGCCAAATAACACTACTTCGGCTGCAGATACTAAGAAATAAATGGTTTTTTTTTCTACTCCAACATAATTTTATTCCAAATTTATTTTTATAAAAAAGTCGTAGAAGATAGAGTTAAGGTTTATAAATATTTAAAAAACAAACGTTTTTACTGTTAGAAACAACTATTTTAAACTCTACTGCTCTCTATAACAGGTTATTTCTAAAGAAATCGATCAAATATTTCGAGTCGAGTTAATGGTGTAGGTACCTACCTACCTTTTTGGTCATACGTCAGTTTACAGTTCTACTAAATTTACGCAATTTCTAAAACTTTTCTTGTAAAAGTTTAACATGTCCTCAAACTTCAAACGATATTGATTCTCTTGACAATAAAAAAAGGTAATGAGGTAGGTATTTCATTCCCTTGAGTTATAAACAGTTTACGTTACGTTACGTTTAAGAAAAGAATTAACTTAGGTACTCATCATCATCATCATCAACGGCCTTTGTTAGTCCACTGCTGGACATAGGCCTCTCTTTAGAAAAGAGGTTTTTTTGTCTGTTTCCATACCAACACTAACAGGTGACCTTGATAATGGTTGTACCCATTGTTATAATGTATTGACTGTCCTCGACTATGGTTTTGGAAGGCACGACGCTGGTTCCCTACGTAGCTAGGTGAGTGTTGTAAGGTGGTCTTTTATAATTATTATAGGTAGATGTGTCCTTAGGTACTCATACTTTACCTGATTTGTGTTAGGTATACTTCTTTTACAATTTAGGTAGATACTTTATTTTAAAAGTGTAATTAACATCCATGAAGTGTAATAGTACTAGTAATAGTTTAGCTTTATTTAAGTTAAATTATAAACTTAAACATCTTACTTAATGTACTACCATTTTTACAAAGCAATAAAACATAACTATGTAATATAATAATACTGACACATTTATTTTTTGGGGAAGGTGTAGTACCTACGTATAGCTTGAACTATATGTAAGCATAATATTTGAATCTGATAAATTTTATTTCAATCAATATTTATTAAACAGTCAGTTATCCAGTGTTGTTATAAATTAATATTAAAGGATTGTAACGAATTGAGAACCTGTTCATTTGGATGTGCTAATTGTCAAAGCATTTTGTACCTACACAGCTTTTATAACATCGCCTAATTTGTCAGCTTTATCAAGACCTAATTTTAGAGTAAGTAATTAAAAAACATGGTTATTTATTCATTATTAAAAGCCTTTTTTTTAATTGTTTTACTAGAAAACTAGGTATGAAATATAAAATAGATTTTAATAATAAACCATTCAAACTTTCTCTTTCGACCTAATTGTAAAACAGTATAACATTTGAAGGCACACCTGTGTAAACTTTTATTGCATTTTTGACCGTCTAATTATCAAAGCCAGTGTGTAATAAATTTAATTCAGAAAAACAACTTCTTACTCTTAGAAGAAACAATAAATAAATGATTGAATACATAAATATCAGTGTATTTATGTCATGTTCTTATCTTCATAAACGAGTATCGGTCGATAAACTTAGTATATCATTAGCCTAGATATTAAATTTAATCAATATTATGGCTTCAAGACTTACGCGAATGATAATTAACTCGACGCTCACTTAGAATGAAAGTTGCAAATTAATTCACGGTCAGTTCTAATAAAAACACATATAAATTTGTACGTGTACCACAAGCACTTTATTCCTTGTAAAAATCACAACGTCATATATCAGATAATCACATATTGTTAAATATAACTGATCATTACTTGCAAGTCCACGACTTTTGTTTTACTTTTTGCTTATACGTGCATCAGCCGCGAACTAAACCGGACCGGGCTTTTGTCGTTTTGTTTATTATACGTTTTATATTTCGTTTTGTTAGTATACGATATGAGCGTAGGATATGTTCGCGGTGCGAAGGTCGCCTGTGCTTTGACTTCGTTGTCGATTACCGCCGAGTATAAGTTATTTTGTTATTTATTTAATGCCGCGCCTGTCCCGAGCTGTTCGTATTTTGATAAACGCGCGCGTGCAAGTGTAAGGCGCGAACCGCTCTGATTGGCTGTCTGACTGAATGAACGGACACATTTAACCGTCCGCGGTTTTGGCGGGAGATCCTCTTTTAGATGACGGCACTTCGTGACGGCATTAAACTTGAACGATTGAAGTTCAACTGTTTGGCTTTTCACTGCTTTAAAAGTTACAAGCATTCGAATTTTTATTAATGCGTTTTATTTTCCTATCCAAAACAGCACTAGCCTTGTCGAATAATCAAAACAATTTATAATAATAATTTTAAGGAGTATTATCATAAAAAAAACGACGGGTTGCACTCCGGGAGTGCCGGCAGAAGTGAAAACTTGAATATTAACGTTGTGCATTTTTGATATTTTGGAATGGTTAGGCAATAATTTTGCACGAATTGCTTTAATTATCAGTATAAAAGTAATATCATTTATGTGGTAGAATACAATATTTATTTATTGTGCTACAGTACACAAACATGACAATATATATTACATTAAAAAGTTTATCTCTCAGAAAAACGAACATTCGCGCAAGCGCCCTGCGCCGCCTAAACGAAACAGCAGTATAGCATACCTTTTTGCCGCGCCGTAGAAAGAGAGAAGGATACTTCCTCTCCTACAGGCTGTCTACGCTCCATCCATCCGTCTTACGAATTTTAGATCAGGGTCGCGTGTCCTGACGCGAGTTTATCATTTTTTACCCATTACAAAAAAAGTGTACAACGCCGCTACAGAAGTTTTCAAAATGAAAAAAAAATGGAAATGGAAATCTTCCTTGAAATGGAATTCTTCCGAGATCTTCCTTTTGTCCTCAATTTTAGGAACGTGGGCAAAACTCAACATCATCATAATCATCCCTTAGTAGTCCACTGCTGGACATAGGCCTCTCCTTAAAAAAAGGTTTTGTACTACTATACCACACTGGCCAGTAGCTACCCGTCTTTCCAGTGTGGTATAGTAGTCCAAAACCTTTATATAGGGGCTAAGTATAGGGTTTATTTCAAGTTTTCCTTCTTTTTGCAGTGTTGTTGTCCTGCGTAGATTGATCCCTTAGGCGGCTCTTACGATGACCCATGGGATGAACAAAGGTGGTGACACTCCGTATCCTTAATCTATCAGTACACACGGACAGACCAATTTATAAAATATATTATCAAAGCGAATACTATTCGTAGCTCTATTAGTTGCATGTTTTGATTTCTGTATTTTTGCCGCTGTTCTATATCCACACACCACATCTACAACGAAAATCTTTTAGTGATAGTTTAGTTTTATTTCTCTCTTGTAAAGCAACCATGCATAATTTATATTACGTCTTATAAGAGGTGTGATAGGCGAAAGTGTAGCAACTGATGGTGAAGGCAATGATTGTTTAGAATCCAATGTAGGAATAGCGTCATAGTTGTTTCATACAGCTCTTACAGGGACACAAGTCTCCCTACACAGGTAGGCATCGCCGGTAAACCGTAACGTGTGCGACCGGCTTAAGAGTCGTAACTTGATTTTGTTCTTGGTCATGTTTCATCAAAGTTTAAACTGAAATCAACTATAATTACAGACAGAAGGTGTCTTCGTAAACTAAAAAAACTGATTTTTATTTTGATTTTGATTTAGGCCAAGAAAACCCCACTTCCCTAGAGTAATAAGTTTATGTTAGACAAACCTAGGTTGCCCGTCCTGACTAATGCTGTCAGGACAGACAAATGGAACACAACAATTATTTTAAGTTGGCTTAACCTTGTGCCATTAGAGACCTCTGACCTTTGAATTAGGATCGTTTTATCAGTTGAGATATTTACATTAAATCTCTGGTAAAACATGTTATTTAAGTTGTTCTTGTCAAAGTCTAAAAGTGAAAGAGGTTTTAAGCTTGACTCATTTTTTTTTTCATTCTTTGTTAATGACACAAGCGTCATATTAGCAATCTTTAAATAGTAACACATGCAAATTGTCTATTGTCTGGCGAACCGAAATCGAATCTTTCAGTTAATCTTAAGGATTTCCCAGAGAACCAAACTGTACAGAAATTTAAAA